TCTCCCAATACAGATGGCATAGTGAAATAAACTACAGAATCAAACATAACTTTGTCCTGCTTTAAGAGACAATGGGATGGTAATAAGAAAGTTGGAGATGGGAAACCAGCGGCAAAGGCTTGACCACAACAGGATTCCTCCTCCCTTTCCTTAGTGAAATTAGAGAAGGTTGATTTGGAGAGAAAGACCTAGACCTCTTAGGGAAGGCCATGAAGGTGATCAGAGGGTTAGATCACCTCTCCTATGAAGACAGGCTGAAAGAGTAGGGGCTGTACAGCCTGGAGAAGAGAAGGCTCCAGGGAGCCTTCCAGTAACTAAAGGGGCCCACGAGAGAGCTGCAGAGGGACTTTTTACAAGGACATGTGGTGACAGGACAAGGGGGAAACAGCTTCTAAACTGAACAAGGGTTGGTTTAGATTATATATTCAGAAGAAATTATTTATTCAGAGGGTGGTGAGGCACTAGAATAGAGTTGCTCAGAGAAGCTGTGGATTCTTTATCCCTGGAGTGGTCAAGGTCAGGTTGGACAGGTCTGAGCAATCTGATTTAGTGGAAGGTTCCCTGCCCATGGCAGAGGAGCTGGAACTAGATTGTCCCTCCCAACCCAAAACATTCTGTGATCCTATGAAAATGGAAGTCTACCTTCTCATTATGTCCCATCCGTGTCCACTTGGCCCCCACACATCTGTCTTGCCCATATATGCCCCTTACACAAACATTTGTCTAACTGCATGCTGAATCATCTCTGCAATTTAAGACTCACAGACACCTCTTGTTCCATCAGAACATGTTAACTTTGCCCTCTGCACGTAAATCAAAATTGTGAGTTCAAAGGTATGTCAAGCACTGTTTTCACCTATATCACTGCTGTTCCATCTACAAGACTTTTGCTGTACACTAACTTTAAGTTGTAAAATGACACAGCCAATGTAAACATTATGAAGCTGTAGAGGGTCAGTACACGAGAAATTGAGAAGTTCTTAGTCAACAAGTATTTAGAACTATAATAAAAACTCTTTAGGAACCTGACAAATTTTACAAAGCTAGTTTATATGACCATTGTAACAAGCAATTTCTTGATTTCAGAATCCTGAAAGAGACCATTTAACATAGTCCTAGGGATTTCTCTGGTGAGTTTGATTTCCAACACTCACTTCTCAAGCAATAGTTCTAATAATATTAAGCAGTATTCTAAAGAAGCATTTTTAATTCCCCAAAACAGATTCTGTGCACTTCAAACATCTCATAGATAATACCTCCCTTCAGGAAAACACATCCTATTACAAATAGAAATTGCTTGTATTAGGTTCTAAAGGATATGGTCTCTGCCTGCTTTTGTCCTTAAGCAATCAACACCATCTACAGAGGGGTTATTAGCACAACAAAGTGCCCAAATCCTTTCTGTTGCTAATGTAAACAGACACTGAACAGTATAGGGAAAATCTCCTTTTTTTGACATCCCTGCAAAGCAAGACCCTTGCTGAACCTTCCTGTAGAAGCTAAATATTTCATTTCCAGGAAAGGAGGGGACAAAGATACCAGAATACTCTGAAATACTGTACTCAGGTGCTGCATCTTTGAACTTGCTATTGACTCAAGGTATGGAAGACAATATTCGATCCCATTCAAGCAGACAGCTCACAGTGTACAAAGATCATTTGAAAACAACAAAATCTTAGTATTCAAATGTTCTATCTATATTAACCTCTTGTTCATAATGAAACATCCCAACAGTTAGAGCCAGCAAAGCCTCTTCCTCTCGTGCATGGCTTTCAGGAATGCTGTGACGTTGAAAAGGCAAAATTATCATTGCCCAACAACAAAACTCCACTCCAAATGGCTTGACAGGAAAACAAACATATGGATTTTTAGACTCAGGTCAACTCTAAGGTGTATAAACTGACACTGAGCTTTCTCCTCCACCTCCAGCCTCATACTGCCTCTGTGCCAGCTCCTGCACACAGGTAAGCTCCCAATGAGGTCCCTCAGGGAGTTAATCCTGCAGAAAACAAGCCCTGCAAGTGAAAAGTGGATACTTTCTGTGGGTTTGACTCCCTGAATGAGCTCACCAAGAGTCAGGTGAGTGTCACCTGCCAGGCCATAAACATGGATGGCAATGCCTAGTGGGGGTAGGAGGGGGACGAGACTGTCTCCTTGTGGTAATAACTATTCATTAGCTCAGCCCAATTGCAAGTCTGCAAGTCCATACTGTTCACCAGTTTTGTTACACTGTCATGCTTTTGCTGGCCACTGCTCATCTTAAAAATAACCAAACTAAAAATACCTTTGTAATTTTAAGGTTTTTAAAGAACACATTCGGCATTCAGCTTCTTTAGAAACCTCTTGGATCTCAGATAGTAGTAAATTAAGAATTAAACAATGTTCTTCAAATACCTCTAAGCAAGCACTCTTGGCAAATACCTAACCTCACAGGTTTCTGTTTCTTCATGACACCACTTGTTAAATTAATCATAGAGGTCATTTCCATGGTTCAGGAGAATTTGACTAAGATTATGATAAATATTCACAGAGAATCTTTTTTTATTATTATTTTTAAGCAATGAAATAAGCATAACATGACTTTTACGGATGTCACCATCTTTGGTCTACATCCAAATACATGCTAAAAATAGTAAGAACAGAGTTATATTAAACCAAGAAAGTACAAGGTATTTTGATGCAAAATTTGGCTTACAAAAAAATAGAAAAATATTTTTTCCAGTGGATGTTAATTAAAGCAGCTCAGGGAAAAACACCAGAAAAACTGCTCCCCATCTTAAGATGACTCTGAGGAGCTGGTATTTATGTGTTATGCAAAAAAACCCCTGATTCCAGTGGCATTGTGCCTGAGGTGCCATTCTTAGCAGCAAAAATCACAGGTATGAGCATATGAATAAAAATTACAGATATATAACAATTTTTGGTTAACTGAGGATTAAAATCAGTTATTAAATTACTATATTAACCTCTAATTCCAAGTGCAGATAGGACACACCGAGAACGCCACCAGTTTTTTTTTCCCCACCATGTTCAAAATAGAACTGTTTGAAGTACCTGAATTCTACAGAAATCCATAATAATTTTTAAAAAAGACAAAGTATTCCAAATACGCCTTAAATTACCAAAGTATCAGAGCAGTTTTTGCAATGGTTTCCTTTGTCTTGCTAAGATATCCCAGAATCCATCAGCTTAAATTTATGTGCAGACCAAGAACACATTAAGACTTACAAATGTCTGTTCTTCTCCCTTCTCAATTACACCAACATCAGTCAAGCACTGTCATTCCACAGACATGAAAAATACTCCTCTTTTTTGAAACAGCAGCCATCACCTCCCAAAATTCCAAAAGAAAGGCAGATACATTAGGCACCGGCTTTGCTGCAACTCACCAACAGATATCAACTTTAAAGTAGCAGCACTAGTCATGCAAAACACCTGGTGCTGCACGCTGGAAATAGCAACACAGGCAAGAAAATTCTCTAGTGTATTTGTTGTTATTATCTTAGATACCATCTTGTATTTCCTATCAAAATATTGAGTTCATGTATGGCATCTGAGTGTGTATGTATTTAACAGTTCTATGAACACATGTTTCCCTCAAACATAGCTGGATATAGACTTTTCAGGTGTTCCTTCACAAGCTGTATCTGATTACCTCTGAGCACACTGCCAAAGCAACAGCTGTCTCCTTAAGAAGGCAGTAATTGTAACATGAAAATCAGGGTAGTACATGCTTCCTGATTTTGGTCACGGCTACTATTCCAAAGGTGAACACCTCCCACCCCCAATATAGTAACATCTGGAATTTAACAGAAACAATAAACACCAAGGAACAAAGTGAAAACAAATGATCCATACAGAAATCTGAAACCCCAGTTCTGGCCACTGGTGTTAGGTATTAGAACCAAAATTGCATAAAATTTAGGTCAGAAGATGTCTGTGACTTGTATGCCAGGCTTGCCTTAGTCTATTAATCTCTATAAAAACGCAAAAATATTAGATCTACATGCAAAAATTAACCCAAGGCCCTATTCACTATTACAGACTATGAAAAATAACCAAATAAAAGCAGTGGCTTTATACACATACTCAGAGAATCAGTTAGGCTGGGAAGGACCACAATGGGTCATCTGGTCCAACCTCCCTACTCAGGTACGGCCACCCTAGAGCACATGGCTCAGGATTGTGTCCAGATGGTTCTTGAATATCTCCAGTGGGGGAGAATCCACAACCTCTCTGGGCAACCTGTTCAGTGCTCAGACTACACTACATTTCCTACTATACCTACTACTGATGTTTGGCATATTAATCACATTGTTTGTCTCATTCCAAATATTCCAGGCACAATGCAAGTAGCAGCACACCGGTATCAGCAGTCTTTGTGTAACCCATGGTAGCACTTCACTTAAGTATGAGGAGCAATGGAAAACTTTAAGGGCAAAAGGGTAACTAAGACAAGGCAACTGGCTGCCCTTGTAATCTGCAGTCAACTTAAAGAGCCACTTCAGGTCATGAGAAATTTCAGGATGATAACTCTTTTATAGCTCTCTTCCCACGGTCAGAAATAATACCACATGGAAAAGGAATATTCCACGAAAAAACTACTCTTTCACTAGCTTTTATGGTAACTTGCACGTAAAACAAACAATGCACAAGGGTATCAATCACTTTCCCACTTAAAGGCCTTTACAAAGTCACGCACGAACCTATAAGAATGTTCACCCAACATATATCAGCTGTCTCACATACTGTTTTTGGATATCGGTATCAGCAATCCTTGTACCGGATCTAGCATCATTGTCCCAGCTCAGATGACTCAGATAAAAACAATGTGAAAACATAGTTTGTTTTCATGTTTGAGGTCTCAATTGGTCTCCTGCAACAATAACAGGAAGAGCTGTACGGATCGATACGTGAGATTACTAATTGGGACTTTTCTCGTCCTACCCAACAACATGCAAGTGGAACTTTCTTCAGCAGGTAACACATGCCACACTTACCAGATCCCTGTGAAGCACCCAGTTTGCATGGAGGTAATGGATTCCATCGAGGATCTGGTAGAGTAGGGATTTAACCATAGATCTTGGCAACTGCATGGGCTTTTTATTTGCTTTTGAGGCACGGTGGAACTTGATAATATGCTAGAAGTAAAACAAGTAGAAACATGAAGCAAATTAGATAGGTGAAGAGGTGATTTGTTGTGTTTTGGGGTTTTTTTTTAACTATTAACACTACATAATGGGATGAAATAGAAAGTTTGTTGAACTTCGCTATTAAAATAATAGTGATGTGCTCACAATAGTCTTAAATTTCTTTTATTCTCCCAGTTGCTTTAGAAAGCAGCTGTCAAGCTTTTGTTAATATCTAAATACTGACTACTTACCTCCAAGTAAAGGGTCTTAGACATTCTCTTCCCTCCCTCCTCCCCATCTGGCACCCTCTTATCCTCAGCAGCTAGAGCAGAAGCTTTCAAACCAACAGTATCTACCAGAAAGAGAACCACACTCTATGCTTTCACACTTTCCCTTCAAATCTTCAAAAACACCCAGGACAGCATACTTGCAACTACTCTAGTGTTCCTCCCTAAATTAGAATCCAAATAGACAGAGAATAAATAAATATTTTAACAAAATATTTAAAGTGGGGAGGTAGTAACTCCAAAACCTCACACCATAACATTAGGGTGATATCATGTTCCAACATCTAAAAATGGTTATTTTCTTGCTTCTAAATTTTGGCTGCATACTTCATTGATGATGACAACCTGGTGGCTCATGGACTACACAAGTCAGTCAGCCCACTAGAGGATAAGCACTGTCTGAAAACATGGAATTCAGGAAGGGACCTCAGCATTAGTCAGTTGAAGGAATGAAAATTAAAAAAAAGGTCATTGAAAGATTGCTGAAAGGTCAAGATATATTAGCACTGATTAGCACTTATTGTAAGATCAACATGGAGGTGATGGGTTAGGTTTGGGTTTGCTACACTGTACAAGAAATAAATTGGACTGAGGCCATTCTACCTTCTCCATCCTCAGCCAAGGTGAGGCTATGCAAGGCACAAACAATCTTAATACATTGTCATTCAGCAAACTAAATACATTGGTTCAGATGGAAAAAATACCACCTTTTTGAAGGCAATTCAAAGCATCTCAAGTAACAAAGCAGCATTGAAAATTATGTGCCTCTTGAAAGACAAATAATAAAGGCAGTTTGCATTTTTACTGAAAAAACTCAAAATGCTAATCTGTAGAGTGACAAGACTACTAATTACACAATTCTTTAAACAGGATTTATCTAGTTCAAGATCACCTCCCTCCCCAGGTTAAAGAGGTAGCCAAAGGCTGTGCTTTCATTACACCTCTGCTCCCTCCTCCATCACTACTACTCCCCACCAACTTTATCACTACTGTTCCCACTGAAAATGGCAATGAATTCATGTTTCCTCATGGCAAATGCTACCTCTGGCTGTCACCAGTACTTTAGTCACTATCAAACTGTACTTAGCAAAGGTGTGGACAATACAGTTTAAAGAAAAATAGAAGAAGCAGAAAAACCTGCTTGGTCCCTGTCCACAAGCAATGTTCCCACAGGGTCTTCCACTACTAAATGAACTAAAATCCAGTATAAATGTACAGGATTATGAGTTTTTTATAGGCACATGAGGAACAGTAAACAAGACAAGCTCTTAGTGCTTGATCCTCCAGTTGTGCAATCACTCTGAAAACTGTAATGGAATGCCTTAAGGGGACGTTTCCTTAGAAAACCTTTTCCCTGTCACGCCACAAGAAGATTCTGTGTCACAGCTTCAACTGGGAGTCCCCTACCTTTCAGTACCACACAATGCTCACCAGATAATGACCTTCATGTGCAATTACAATATGATTTACTGAGCAGTAATGACACCATAAACTCACAAATTAATAAGATTTATTAATATAAAAATACAGGAGTACCAACAGGCAAAGGTCACACATAGAGACCCCTAAATCCAGTCCTACCCTTTTTCAAGGTGCATGTAACCACTGAAAGGGATTTCTATGCCCATTGAAAACCTGACTACTATCCACACAAAACATTATTCCTTATTATAAAAGGCACAGACAAGATGAAACTGAAAAGGATCTCATGAGGCAGAATGGGACACAATTAACCACAGATATGTTGAGGAGGGACAACACCTCTGGCTCTGGCCCTACCTAAGCTGCTCCGATAACCCTGGAGGTTGGAGTGTGAGAGCACCAGGCTGGTACCCTCTGATTTCTGCCCTTGCCCTCCCACATTGCTCCCAGCCACAAAGGCTAAGGAAACAATCTCCTTTCTTGAAAGGGTTATTGAATTGCAGAAGTGAATTAAAACTGGTAGTTTTGCTGGAAGCAAGTAATATCACCATTAGATAAAATCCAATTTCCTGCAAAAGCAAATAAACACTACTGTTGCCAAGTTACTCTGTAGAAGTTTATATCCATCAATTTGCAAACATGACAGTCTAGACAACTGAACAAAAAGTAAACTGGAAACATACTGCAGGGAAAAATAGTACAAGGAACTGAAAAGCTGGATTTGCCCCATGGCATGATTTTCCCCCATCGGAATGAATCCAGTGTATGTGAACAAGTCCTACCCTGAAGAGTTTTCTCAAACAAAGCACTTGATCCAATTTCTTGTAAGCAATTAGCCATATGAAGAAAGACCAACATGAACAACCAACACTAAAGAGCAATTTTAATGGCAATGTTCATCTAGGAAATAGAACGGCAAATAGGCTGAACATCACTGCTGAACATCTCTTCTACTAGAGGCAGCAAGCCTAATCTTTCTCTTATTTCACTGTATTTTCAGAAATGTATATATACAGCCCTACTACTGCTGTGGGGAATCATTCTGCAAACTAAATAAAGAGATAAGAGCATCAAACCAGAAATAAATGGTCACAACAACTGGATGAAAGTTTTGGTGAACAGGTATACATACAGTAAGCTCCAAAGCAAAGGATGCCAGAACAGTACAACAACGCTAAAGGAATCTTGTTTAACTTGAACAATTCTTCAGCTATGGCAGGAAGATGTGCTCTTTCCGTGTCAAAACATTTAAGTGTCTAAATCCAAGACCTTAGCTGCAGAAATAGGTGCAGGTACCAGCATAGTCTTTGCATGTGTACTATGCACGGGGCTGAGGCATTCTCTACTAGCTTCACCTCCTGAATAGTCCCAAAGTACAGCTCAAGTACAGCATATAATACCTGCAATCTCAGACATAATAAAGGTATGGAATAACTCACAGGAATTATAGGAATTGTAACCTGCACTTCCCATTCCCCAGATGACGGCCCTAACCACTAGGCTGCAAAACTATACTCCTTTCTCTCATACAATAAATCTTTTTGCAGAATACCACAGCATCAAGACTGTCCTGTGAGGTTAGAGTATAAATCTGAATCCTGACAGGTATGACAGGCATTCCCCTTTCTCTCTGGGAACCACAAAGTGCACTCTGACACTGCAGCTTCTAACCCATGCTCAAGTTCTTTGCTTTTACATATTTTTTTTAAAATTTATACAAGGCATCAACTTTGGAGCAGTGGCTTTAAGTCTATATTCTAAATTAATGCTTCACTGACCAACATTAACATACACATTCATTAGCAGTCTAGGAAAGCAACGAAACTATAATTTTCTATTTGCCATCTCTGGGACTATTGGTTTTGCTTAGTAACTATTCCCAATTTTCAACTTCAAAAAAATGTACTAAAAATGCAAGGAAAACTGGATGAACCTTTAAGACCATTTTAGCTCTTGCAAAAGAACGACTATATAAGTGATTAAAAAAGAAAAGCAAAACAGAGCTAAGCGTTTGGAAATAAAATACAGTGGTGACTCATGAAACAATATTCAATTTAGTAGTGTACCTGCCTTCTTCTGTGTTACCTTGTTACCTTGTGTGTTGGAGCTGGTTTTAAAATTGGCTGATGAAGAACTATGTGCACATTCTAAATCCTCCACCATAAACAGAGTAATCCTAATGTGTAACAATACAGTGTAAATTCAAATCCCTAATGTTTACCCAGTAGTTAAAGGAGTATTCAAAAAATATCCTAAATTTTAGCTTCCTTCCAAGTAAGTCAGGCTTATGCAAACATACTGTCTCTGTGTCATCCCATCCCCAATTCTGAGAACTGCTGTTCAGTATGGGAGAGGCTAAAACAAACAAACAAGTCAGACCTGGAAACTGGAAGCATTACTACAATCAACACAAATTGTCCTTCAAAAGAGGAAGGGAAAAAAATATGCCTCAACAGGTTCCCTCTAAATGACACCTGTTGATGGCTATGCACTGGCATCTTCTTTACAATGTCATTAATCAAACTGCCTAACCAAAAAAGCCTTTCCAAGTGACAAGAGGTCAACAGTGAAATATTCTCACTTTTGCTATTGCCAGCTTCCTTTAAATACCTAAGCTTTGAAACAAAGAGCAGACATAAACAGATTCAGAATAATTTTCCTAGGTTTTGCTGGGGTCTGTGTGTTCTAACATCTTTCCGAGCTAAATATGTCAAAATAACTCTATACAATAATAAAAAACATTAGAATTCAGCTACCGGTAGGTGTGTATATATATATATAGATACATATCTCATGTATATGAAACAGTATTCACACCACTCTATTCACATTAGTTTGTCACACATTTTATGTTTTTGCACCCTTGCCTCTGCCTTTGAGGCCTTTTTCCACCTGTTGTTTCCCCCAATTCTCATGCTTTGTGGTACATAAAACGAGTCCACATAAACTACCCTCAAATTCATACCACTCTGGCAGAAAAATCAAGTTTATGAGTAACAGGCACATTCTCAGAACAGACAGATATCGACATGGAATGGCACTGCCCTCTGCAAGAAACTTAACAATCACTTTAGTGGTCAAAAAATCCCATGTTATATTTGGTAGGGACAAATCATGCCATGAAGATCTATGCCAGCCCACTCTCTTCTCCCCCAACAAATCTTACATTCTTCTGCCAGCTACCAGAATCCTACGTAGGTAAATACATGTCCAACAGAGAAGACTGCACCAAGAAGCACCTAGCAGAGGACTGAATTAAAACAAAACCAGACATGGCTTTAGAAAATGAAAAGAGAAAAAATACTACTGCTACACTGAGAAAAGTCTTTTCATGTATATACAGACATTTGTGCCCAACTAGCATCTGCATTGTCTTCCCAATTAAGAGCTAAACTGAAGCCTGTGGAAGAAAGAATTGCAATTGATTATACCATATTTAAGGGATGTGTTAAAACCTAGAGCTATCAGACAACATTCATGAGATTAAACAAGTGTGCATGTTTATAGAACAAATCAGTTTGCAACACTCACAATTCCATTTATCACAAAAAAACATTATGCCAAATGTTGTTACTGAAATTAAGTATATTCATTTGTATACTGAGAGAGTCAACTAGTGTTATGAAACTCACATTTAGGAAAAATATCTTCTCCTTTCCTTTATTTGATGATCATTTGTAGGTACACATGACTATGCTAATAATCTCTACCCTATGTTATTTAAAGCAGAATATATACAAGTATTGCATATAAAACAAAGCAAATTTACCCATGCATTTTTATTATTATCAACAAGAATATCAAGATGAATTTTACTCCATGTTTCTCAGTAGTATTTGCTGCTAAGCATTTAGTTGTTAGAGATCCCTGGAATCTAATAGTAAGAAAAAAACATTCCACCAACCCTAAAAATACTCAGATCATGGTTTAAATGGTCTTGGATAGTGACACCACATTCAATATTATCAAATCATGGTTAATTATTTATTTACTCACTTATTAAGAGCCAGCAATATTTTTTTATGGCTAGAAAATACATTTTACACATTTTACTGTGATAAAAATTTTACTGTTTTTCAGAAGGAGCTAAAAACATTCAGAAGTTTTTGATTTATGCTGCAACATATATTTCCAGAAAAAAAAGGATCTTAAAGATTGAAGTTACACACACATCAAATGAGTCTGAGAATTAACTCTGTACCACAACTAGGAAAGGTAGATAACCTGTTCAATTCAGAATGAAAAGGAAAAAAAGGTGTAACAAAAATGTTGCTTAGAATCAAAAATCCTACTTAAAAATATAGAGACTATGAAATTCAAGAGCTGAAGGCATGCTTGTCTGTGGTACTAAAACTGTGTCTTTTGCAAACTATTTTCAATGCTAAAAAATTTGATGCTGTAAAAGAATAAGAATAAGAGAGTAGCTGGGAACAAAAGAAGAGCTCTGAAAACTACAACCCCTGCAATAGCTAGAAGTAATTAGACTGATAGCAAATAGAATTTACAAGAGCAGATCTCATTTGTATCAGCCTTTTCTTAAAGTGCAATTAAGTAATCATTGTGCATTTGATGTATTTGGTATAAATTTGGATAAAGTCTTAAAATGCACAAGCTTTACACAGGACTGTAGTATACAACTTAAGACTAAGGCAAAATAAGAAGACACATGAAAGTTCAATAGGAAAATAAGTTATTCCTTTGTGATAAAATAGTAAAAACTCTGGCATTTAAAACAAACTTTTTAAAGGTCAAAAATGAACACAGCAGAAAAATACACATATCATTTGAAGCAATTACACTTTCTCTTGGAAAGATTTCATCCTTGTATAGTTTCCTAAGCCTATGAAGTTCTAACTGCCAACTGGAAAGATGACTTTAAAGTGTATCAGTTCCACTCATGGATTTAAGATGAACTTCACAGCATGAGCATATGTAAGCAGTGGTGACAGTGCAGACAATACATTATAAATTAATTTATGTGGCACATCCTACAGCCCGAGAACTTTACCAGTTTTCTTTGACAGAGACAAATAGTCCAGAAAAATCATAAAGAAATTATTTGTGGATTACAGTAAGAACTTTGGTAATTAAACTAGTTATAAATCAAATTGCCCAAAGAACGCCCATATTCTTAGATACTCTGCACTGTAATCTCATGAAAGGCTTTGCATTGATTTGTATAATGTAACTTGACCGATGATGAAAGAAAGTATCTTTGATAGGCTTAGTCATTAAAACCAGTGAATATGTTTGTAGGCAAGGACAACATAAATCAGTCCTCACCAATTCCTGCCAGGAATAGTTCAAATTCGCAGAGCTTTCTACATCCCTTGGTAAAGGTATCAACAGAAGTTACAGAAAATCATGAAGTGTGCAGTTATCTTAACTCAGATTTCAGATTTGAGCAGTTTAATCCTTGGGAATTAAATGCAAAGTAAAAAAAAAGTTCTTGCTCACCGTGAAGGAACGTTTTAATAAGCTTAATTGGCACCATCACTTTTCCTCATTAGAACAGGACACTTTTTTTCAGTATTAGAAAATGAACAGAATAAGATAGCATCTAATATAGTTTCTTCATCTCTTGCCAAATGTTTCCAGTACAGAAGCAGAAAAATATAATGATTTTAATTAATCTGGTGTTTGTAAGTGATGAGTATTTCATCTTCTCATTGACGCCAACAGGAGTTACTAATGCTGGGCAGCTTTGAACACAGGGACAGTTCCCATACTTAGAGACTTTGGTAACTCAAAGCTCCCTACACTTGAAAACATTGGTCTCTGGGAACTACATCTCTCCAGCGACAGCACATCTACTATTCCAAAACTTAAATCCTTATACACTGATATACCCACAATGAATAGACTTACTTGGGGTTTATGCAGTGCTCAGGGAGCACACAGTGCTAAGCAATAAAGTGCCAATCCCCTACTACAACTTCTACCCCAAAGAGCTGAAAGGGCACAAGCTGTAAAGCACAGGAAATGCAAAACACAACACAACACAGACAGAATGACAAGTGGTTGGTATTACTGAAATGCGTTACAAAATAAGTGGATTTTCAGGAGTTTTTTGAAGGAGGATAGCGAAGGATCTTTACGTACGTTAATTGGGAGGCTGTTCCATGTGTAGGAGGGCAGCGTGGAAAAAGACACAAAGTTGGGAGTGAGCAAAAGAGACAAAAGGGGAATTAAGAGCGATGCTTGGGAAGTGCTGACGGTAAAGGAAATGAGGACCAAGGTTAAGCCAGAACCAAGAGTGCCTTGAACATGGGCAACTTTATGCAAGGAAGGAAAAAGAATTCCTGGCAAAGGCTTAAGAAGCAAGGAAACATGGGCAATTAAACAGGAGAGGAGAAATGATCTGTGTAGCATGTCCCATAGAAAAAAAACAAAACAACATAAGAGTGTTAGGAAGTGCAAGACCAGTTCACATCAAATACCTCGTCATAACAAACATTTCAGTCCCAAATAATAGAAAATAATTAGCTTCCTGAGATTATATCCAATAACCAGCCAGAGGTGAGGAGTGGTAAGAACAAACTGCAGTGATTCTCCCTCTAAAGCTGTTAAATCATGTGAAAAATCACTATGTAATGTATAAATCAAACGCCCAAAATAAAATCAAATGGAAAATGTTAGCAAAATAGGTGTTTAAAACACAAGCCATTAAATGTAGCAGTAAAATGTGTTTGTTGTGACTGTTCTATAAAGTGAGTAAACTCATTTGATGCAAAATAAATGGTCATACAGAGGTTTAGCTGATTCATTCCCCTTGATCACCACTGCCACCAGTTATAAGAAATACACAAACTCTCAGTGTACGTTGAACTTCGATGAAGAAAACTTAAAATACAAATCTGTTAGACCATAAGAGAAACAAAATTACATATTTTTTTATGCTTATGAAGGGGAATGAAATATCATGACTTTACTTGTTCTGAGCCAGAAGTGTCTTTTTGCATGGCTAAAAGTTGGAAGGGTTTACTTCCCTTCCAACTACAATTTTGTGTCGTTTCCAAGTCCATAGCTCAAGAGCTAAGCATGAAAAAACGGAGCAATTTGTCACTAACATTCAGTACCTTCTGTATTACTGAAGCCTTCAAAAACAATATGGTAATTAATTACCATTTCTTCTCCTTGTCAGTATTTTTGGAGGAATTATAAACATATTGATTACTCTTAGTAAGTGTTTGATATCTTTTGGGTTAAAACACAAATCCAGGTCCATGCAACTCACATCTTATCAACAGATGTGGAACTTGAATATTTGCATCTCAGTTCAACTCATGATATCATTTATGTCCACCTCTACAACAGATTAAATCAAATCATACCATAAAAACAGACATCTAAGCCTCTACTCCTCTTCTGTGACAGTCCATCAGTAGGCCAATTAGCTTACTTGTTTTTTCTTTTCTTTCCACTCATACTGTCAGAAATTCCCTGTTTAGAATACAGACAATTGAATGTTGGTCACTTCCACTGTATCTCAGCGAGAGGACTCAGTAAAGCATTCCCTCTCCTTTTTTTCTTTTGTGTGTATGCGCAAAACTGCAGGAAAAAATATTAAATACATTTCCAAACTCTGTTTTAGAAGACCTCAATTGAGGAATGCTTTCTTTAGCTCCAATTAAAGCTTGCAGCAAAATCCTTTACACTTCAAAATGCAATCTGACTTTACAAAAAATTCTATATAGTCTTTTGCAGGCTTTAAAGGATAGAAATAACAGGATGTCAGTCAGACCCTTAATTATGGAGCAAGCAATTGAAGCATCTCTGCCTATATGGAAGTACATCACACACATGTCAGTTTGAACAAGCTCCTATTACACTACTGCAAACACTCAGGGAAATCTGTACTTACCCACAAATCATGCTCAGCATAATCAAACAGCAGCCAAACCTTTCTGTCACTGTGAGAAAGGAAAACCTTCTGCAATGCAATCACGTTTGGGTGCTTCAACTCTCGTAAAAGCTGCAGAGAAACAGAGAAGCTCTTGTTACTTTTGTACTTGTTAAGAAAAGCAAACACTGCAACAAAACCACCGAACAGGCCAAATAGCAAAGAAGTAATTCTAAAACAGGCCCTAGAAGGAAAGATAAGTGATTCAGCACATTATCCTCAAAACATCAAAATCAGGACCGACAGAGCCTCCGTGGCATGGGCTGGTGTTGTGCCAGCACAGCTGCCTGTCCCACACCCAGCTGCCCATCCCACCTGCCATCAGCATCTATCTTAAAACATGTTATTACGCACAAACAACTGTTTTGTTAAAAAAGGTGAACATCAGGATTTGAGGATGCCACAATGAAGCTTGTGCAGCTGGTCCAGTTTTTTGTGCAGACAGCACAGTTCTTGATCATTGTTTTATAATCAATAACTTTCAATAACGTGCCTCACCTGCCTTGAAGTTTGTGGGCTGATGTTCTCAGAACATCAGGGTGTTTTGAAAGAAAAGTTTACCAAAATGGTTTTTTTCCTAATGGTTGTCTCAAGTACTATCCTGTAATCCAGAAGCTTATTTACTTCTTGCCAGAAAGAAAACTAGGTCTCATGACTAATTAGGCAGCACACAAAAGCAGGCACCGCTGCTGAAGTCATCTTTCTGCCAGATTAAATCAGTCTCAGGAGGAGCTGGGAAGTGGTACTCCCCAAAATATCATTTCCATGGAATCACTTTTCTCTCCCTCCTCTCGACACTGCAGTCACAAGAATGACTGATCGTTTTGGTCTTATCTGGAAATCAATTGCATCTGCAGCACCAGTATATACATTACCAAGAATCAATTTACAATGGCAAAATAGCCAATGGAGTAGACTTCCAAGGCACATTTGAGAGAAATAAATCTTCTCTTTCTTTCACCTTACAGAAAAAGACTCAAGATGTTTATTTTAGGGGAAATTAAAAAAAAATTAAAATTCTATTATCCTTTGGCTATACTGATGTCTGTCAAGACAAGAAAGCTTCTAAAGAATATTATAGTTGCTCAAATCTATTCCAGTTTTCCAGAAAATGAAATAATTTAAATGCTTTTTTTACTACGCAGGAAATGTTTTCTTCTTTTTGTTGCTTCCTTTCCCTAATCCTGAGCCTCCTTTTCTCCAGGCTGAACAAACCAAATTCCCTCAGCCACTTGTTCTTTGTTACATTCTGGCTGTCAGGACTGGGTGCACAGCAGCTGGTGTGAGAGCCAGACCAAGGAAATGTCAGCGCTAGGAGTCCAACACACTGTGGCAAGAACAAGAGCTCTGGACTTGCAATGGTGCTAGACATCGACTAGACAAGGTCAAAAACCATAGTGTAGAGTACAAGCAATGAGCATGGGCCACAAACACAAATGTTGGCCAGATTTATGACTAAAAATAATCTAGGAACAGATTAGAGGAGAGGGCGAGCACGGGGACTGTGAACTGATGTATCTCATCGGTACGTAATGAGCAGAGATGAGGGGAGTCATTCAAAAAGCACTAGAAAGATGTGATCAGAAAAGAATATAGAGCATAACCAAACACACAGCCATGGAAATCAAAAGACAGCAAATTTGAGACAAATATTTCCAAGACTAGCACTGATATACAGTTTAGCTAAAAAGAAATAAGGGACTTCAGAAACCATATCTGCATTGAAGCAGACAGGTAGAAGCCAACAGTGTGAATACATGGGAACATATCTAAAGCTACTTCATCACCATTGTATCAACCCCCAACCCTAAAGTCTTCTATGTTTGACTAGAGTTTTGTCAACATTTAACATGCCACATATATCTAACAGTTAAGTCATGCACCTTCTTGTGACAGAATGAGAACAAGACAGTGCACAAGAATAAGAAAGTGAAACTGGGATAACATAAAACAAAAACAAAAAATATATTACCTCAGGTTTTAATAATAGTTATGATACCAATCATGAAAAGAACAAACACTCTGATAATGGAAATGCCTCACATTTATGAAAGTGAAAATTAGCACAAGTCAAGTACAAGCAAAACTCAGATGGAGCATCTCTTAGCAAATATATCACATACACTCATGAACAGGACAAGGAAAGGAAACAAGGCAACTGCAGACCTGTTAATCCAAAGCATGCACAAAAAACATTTTGAAAAAATGAATATAAAGAAAAATGTGTAAAAAAACTATCCTGATTTTGTTCTCTGATGACCAATTTTCTACACAAGCAGAAGATCTGTGTTCAAATATCAAGCTTAAAACTGCTTTAAGTACTTTGTCAGATGACAAGGATGACAACTGGAATAAGTTTGAGGTGAACAAGGAACTACCTCAACAGGCAGCTGACAGTGGGGCACATTTCAAGGTAAAGTAGCTCTATATATAAACTATTTGGGGAGTTACCAAAGAACAAGTATTGTGTTTGTTAATAAAACCCATCCTAGCATCAAAATCACAAGGGTGAATGAAATAATCTATTAAATAAAGGCAGCAGTCCCAATGAAGAAAAAGAATGATGATGCATCATCTTTTATGCTACTTTATTCTATGACTGAGTAAACAAAGAGTAACAGAAATAGGATGAGATCAACAGCACAAAATCAGAAGTCATGCACTCAGAAACTAACCAAGAATTTCTGCCACAGACTGAGAAACCATCAGGAGCAAGTGACAAAAAGGTAGAACTGGACTGCCATAAAGCAACAAAGAAAATTAAGAGGGTAAATCTGATATCAGATATCCTAGCTGAGGCATTTAGAGGAGAGAAAGGGATGTATTGATATCAATATATAAAAGGCTTCTGTGATAAATTCTTTTAATACTATATGCTGTTTTCTTTACCTATGCCCAAACACCTCCCCCTCCACACACACAAAGAGGAATTCACCCTGAAAGAGGCAAAGGGTACCAAAGGAGTAAACAATGTTTCTCTCAACAGGGAATAAAAGGCTCAATTACTGTAACTGATCAAATACTGAAAGCAAATAAGATAGATATCGACTAAAATACAAAGGCATGAGCACCAAAGATGAATGAAATCATTATGCTAAATGACAATCATGGTTCAAGAATAGAAAGACAACTGATAAGAGTGTATAGATAAGAGATAGATTTACCCTGCAAGATGTCATCTCATGAACAGGATGGTTCGGGAATAGCTTCTCAATAGCAGGGAAAACAGTACCTTTCATTTATAGCTTGATCAACATTGGAAAACAAATTCATTTGATTAATTTGATATCAATCAGCCACTAGATCTGGTGATACAATGCCTAAGCAGTACATGCTTGTATAGAAGCCTTTGTGAAAGGTCGTTTAGTGAGGTTTTATTGATCATCTCCAGCAGATGGAAAGCTCATGTATTTATTGACAGTGAACTCCTACACTAATTTGGGTTAAACTCTCTGAACTTAGGCTTCAGATTGTCTATCACCATATAATGCAAGTTCTACGTGAAGTAGGCTAGCAACTAGGAAGTTGCTAGTCTAGGAAGTTGCTCTTGCTCTTCTGAGGTACAGAAAGTTCTGCCTTTTTCCCCTCCAAAGAAAACAACTTCTGTGAACAGAAGAGTTACGCTGCTACTAATACAAACAACACAATCAATTATGAGGGCATTTAGCACATTTAAAACAGTCAGACAGTACATTCCCCAAATAAATGAATCTTGAGCAGAAATACTTTTACACCACAGGATGAACAATGCTTTGTAACTACCACTCACAAAAACAGGGGGAGGACAGACACTTAGATCTTGCTGTGAAGGAAACCTAAGAAAAATTAGAGAAAAAGGGAAGACAAACAGTGCTCTCACTACTGACACTAGTAAATCTTGCTACAAACATCTATTTCTGTGTTAGTGATGACAAAAGCCATAATCATCCTCAGAAATTTATTCAGAGGCCAATCTCATCTGAGAGGTGTTCCTACCTCTCACATAGTTTACTTCAGTCTTTTGATCTGTGTAGTTAAACTCATCTGGAACAGCCTTGGTAGTTTCTTTGATGGAAATGCACACTGTACTGCATTTAGCTGTTGTCAAGGTTATAACCAAAACCTTTAACAGGCAGAGATGTGGATCACAAGAAATCACAGGAAAGACCAAAGCATGAGCCTGATTGTTCATGAAAAAGCAATTGTATGGTACAGAATTTTAAAGCTGCCTCTTGTGTGATGAATATACTCAGAGCCTCTAGGGTCACTGAAGCTGTTTTTTAATTGAAGCTGAGCTTTTCAAAGGAACCTAAGATCATAATTTTACTTCTTCAGAGGGTCTTTTAAAATTCCAACTTTAGGTGTTCTTAATCAATACTAGACCCTCTTGTTTTTGTTATTAATATTATCCTTGCATAGACCCTCTGCTGCCTATTATCATACTGAGCTGATGCTGCAGCTTTTCCCACAGGGAAGCAGGCAGTTATTCATTTTATTAAACTTGTAAAAACAACCCTTTACTAACTGTGCAACAGGTCTCTGAGTTAAAGAAGAAAAGAGAGTGGAAGTGAAACAGCATACCACATTAGAAAACTACTAAAAATTCAGCTTTGTTTAGGTGATCCAATTGATTGTCAACTTTGGGATTTTTCAATTTGGATTTCCTTTTCTACTTGGAGAAATTATAATTACAGAGTTACTGCATAACTGCTATAAGCTGTCCATGGCTGGCACAGGTATAAAAGATCTCCAAAAGAGGCAGGCAACAAACATGGACATGGATATATATATATACACATACATACACACACAAAACCAGACAAAGAATCTAAGAATAAAGGTAAAAGTTTAAGCATCAGCTTAAGCTCTGCTTCAGAGAGGACAAACTCTTTGTGTACTGGTCTTGAAGGGCCTTTGGCATGCAAAACCAAGTAGGCAGACTGAAATGCCAAAAATTAACAACTGCCATTCCTACACAAACTGCTAAGAGTTTCTGCCTGAGTTTACAAGGCACATTCCAAATAAAAATTAACAAGCTAAAATATTTTAAAGCAATCTCCAAGCAGAACAGTCCATGCAGACTCGGTTCTTCC